TTTAAACCATGGTACACGTTCAAATGGTATAATGAGTCCTACTACAGAACATATTACAACTAATAATGGACAAGATGATACCAAGAATACTGCAATTCCAAATTCTGAATTTGATGACTTACAAGGATGTCTTGACAGAAATCGTGATATCAGAAAATCATTAACATTTGGAGGACTGCATGGACATGTTATGGAAAATAATACAGAAGTAAATAATGTTTAAATTATGTTTAAATTATTATATATTTTTAACATCATTTTTATACAATGTCTTGTCATATTTTACATATATATTTCAGATTCAAATGGAAAATGTTGCCATAGTTCAACCTACATTGCATTTAAAAAATAAGGAATTAAATATAAAAAAGAATATACAAAAACCAGCTCAGTCGCCTACCCATGCTACTAGCAGTGAAAGTAACACACATTTATCACAAAAGAAAGTGCGTGAAGTTCCCCCATATAGAGATCCTCCAGGTCCAGCTTCACCACCTTTAAGAACTTTACCCCCATACAGAGATCCTCCACCACCTAATTTAAATAGTCCTGGAAGATCACATTTTCAATCTAGTACAAATATTGGAAGTCCTCATGTTCATAAAGAAGATCAACCATCTTCCAGTAATTCTGTCAAACTAAAGAGAAATCTTATTCAGGTTCTATAGATAAATATATTTTTTAAATATAAAATACGTACACATACACGCGCGTGCACGCACACATACACACATATACATAAAATATTTCTTATATTTTTCATATATTATTTCTTATATTATTTTGATAAAGAAAAAGTGGAAAGAAAGAGAAAATTAAATAAATTAATATAAAAATATATTACAATATAATTATCGTTATCAATGTTATTAATATATGTTTAGGAATTTCAAGAAACAAAAGGACAAGCTCAATCTGTAAATCAATTATCTGGTCAAACTCAAAATATGGTTACTGTTGCTTACACTCAACGCTATGTTGAACTTATAAGACTAGTCAATAAACAACGTGATACTATTAATGCCCAACAAGCAGATCTTACTAAAGTATGAAGTTATAAATTCATATACACTTATAAATTTATAAAAAAAAATTTAAAATATATTCCAATATTTATCTTTTAGTTTGATGCTGAAATATTATATTGGGAAACTAAAAATAGAGAACAAATGCATCAGATAGATTTTATTTCTCAAGAAGTAAATCGTATGGAAACTACGGGACGTCTTATTGAAGAACAAGTATATATTTTATATATTTATTATTATTATTAATTAATAAAATTGTAATTACATTTATTGTTTTTATAGTTAAAAGAATTAGCACATGTTGAGGAAGAAAGTGAAATAGTTAGACAACAAGAAAAAACATTAAAATCAGAAATTACATTACTAAGATCAAAACTGGCGAATTGTGAAACAGAATTACTTCAATGTAAAAACAAAATTAGGTAAAAATTTATTAAGTTTAAATATTTTAATGCAATACAATATTGAAATTATTTTTTTTTTTTTTTTGCATTATAGATTAGTTATGGAAGAACTTGCTATAGAACAACATAATATAAGTCGTGAAACAGATGAAAGACAAATAATGGAACGTAAAATTATTACTGAAGTTGAACATCTTCAAAATGAAGTAGAACAAGCTAAACGTTCCGCTGAGTTAGCTTCACAATGTGCAGAAACATTAAAGCTTGAAGTAGTAAGTTTAGAATCTGCAATTGTTGAGAAAAAATTACAAGTAGAACGATTAGTAGCGGATATGAAAGAAGCTAATTTACAAAGTCTTGCTGTTGCTTGTCAAGATGAACAAGTAAAATCATTATTTGAAGGTATTCAAAATTTAAATTAAAATATAATTAAAAATTTATATAATTATATTTATATAATTTTATATAATTATATATTAAATGTTATATATTTATTCCATAGGTGCCCACAAACCCGGTAGTACACGTAAAATGATAGGTTCACCAAGGCAATTGGAGACTGCAGTACCTACAAGCAAAAATCCACATGGTGTTTGGGTATAAATATGTGTTATTCGATATACTTTGCGATATCGATTATAATACTTTTTATTTTTAATATAGTAAGCAATTAAACATTTCATGTAGAATTATATGTGCAATTTGCACATCAAGTAGAAATTTACAACGTAAGTCAATAAGATCTTTTACTTTTGTATTACATGTATACATTAATTGTTTTATTCACTGGCCATATAATTTTCGACAAATTTAATTATAAGTTTAATTAATAGTTTAAATATTATTTGTATATATTTAGCACGAAAAAGAATTGGACAATACATTTATCCAAAGTATTATTATAAATCATGCAACTCACATATTATTTGCATGTTTTTAAGAAAATGTATTTGTAATTTAAGAAAATGTATTTAGAAATTGTTACAAATTTCACGAAATTATTACTTGAGATAAGATTATATATTTTCTATATTATCAAAATAATTCTGTGAATTAAGTGCATTTATATGATGCACTATTTAAAATATTAACATAATATATATGTATTGTGTATCTTGTACATATCGTTGAAAATATGTGATAATGAAGTCTGAAAAATTCTATTCTATCTTCTGTTAATTTACATTAACTATATTTCTAAATATTTAAAAAATTATTTTTTTTTTTAAATTTCAGTCCAAAATCAAATTCATTGCATTTCATTTAACAAATTTAACTTTATATAAAATTTGTTTAACTTGCATTTATTTTATATTTAAGTTTGCTTTGATTTATATCATAATAATTTTTGTTATTTTATGTTTATTGTTAATGCATATTCATTAAAATAACATTTTCACACTGCCATTATTAGTAATTATCTTTTAAATGTAATGTATAAGTATATAATATATTATATTTCATATGTAATTTCATTTTTAAAAACTTATAATCTTGTAATTTTATTGTCGATAATATTGATTTGTTTTTTTTTATAATGTTTACCAAAGTGTGTTAATTTTTTATTAAGAATAAACATATATTGTACAATAAAATATAAAAATAAAAATTAAAATTAAAATAAATTAAAATTAAAATATGAAATATATTTATTTATTTAATTGATATATTATATATATTTTACAAATATAAATATAAATACATATTTATAAAATTTTAAAAAATACAATATAAATATAATAAAAAAAAATATTTTTTATATCATGAATAATATATGATATCATGAATAATATATGAATAATATAATCCTTCCAAATAAGATCGAAATCAAATTTTATAAAATGATTATGAGATCTATTAAATACTTTATCTATGATTGATGAGATTATAATTTCGCGCGTTTTTGAATTCCGTATCTTAGAAAACAAATACTACTACTCTTAATTTATATATAACTGTAAATACATAGATAAATAAAAGAAAACATTATTAAATAAGTTCAATATTCGAAGTATGATTATAATTTATTATAACGTGATATTTAAATAATTTATTAAATTATAAATTTAATAGAGATTTAAATAACACTTATTTTATGCATTTTTCAAGCAAATATGAGTCTTTGGGTGGATAAATATCGTCCAACAACACTCGGAAAATTGGATTATCATAAAGAACAAGCAAGTTATTTAAAAAACATGGTAATCATGACTTAGAATATATATAATTTAAAAGATAGGTTATGCCAAAATTATATGATTATTTTTTTCATTCCTTATTAAATATAATTATTTTTTTCATTCCTTAAATATAAATATAAATTTATTTCTATTCATAAATAAACTTATTTTATAATTTTAGATACAAAAAGGAGATTTTCCACATTTATTAGTTTATGGACCATCAGGAGCAGGAAAAAAGACTCGTATAATGTGTATTATAAAAGAATTATATGGAAGTGGAACTGAGAGATTAAGAATGGAAACAATGACATTTGAAGTATAAAAATATTTTTATTATGTATAAAAATAATTTCCATAAAAAAATAAATTTATTATTGATTTCAGACGCCTTCTAAGAAAAAATTAGAAATTTCAACAATAAGTAGCAACTATCATATTGAAGTAAATCCAAGTGATGTTGGCATATATGATAGAGTTGTAGTGATGGATTTAGTAAAAACAACAGCTCAAACACATCAGATAGATCCAAATGGCCAAAAAGAATTTAAAGGTAAATTTTTTAATTTTAATAATTATTAATTATTTAATTTTATATATTTCCTAATAACTTATTATAATATTATAATATAATTTATTAGTGGTATTACTCACAAATGTGGATCAGTTGACAAAAGATGCACAACATGCTCTTCGAAGAACTATGGAGAAATATGTTGCTACATGTAGATTAATACTTTGTGCAAATTCAACATCTCGTGTATTGCCAGCCATTAGATCACGATGTTTAGGAATTAGAGTTCCAGCGCCATCAATAAAAAATATAAAAGATATTTTGCATACAATTTGTAAACGCGAAGGTTTAACATTACCAGATGAACTAGCTACAAGATTGGCAGAAACTAGTGGTAGAAATCTTAGACGAGCTATATTAATGCTTGAAGCTTGTAAAGTTGAACAGTAAGAACATTAAAAGATTGATATTCTTATATAAATCTAATTATAATAATTTAAATATTAATTTTTCATTTTTAGATATCCATTTACTGCAGATCAGAATATTACAGAACCAGACTGGCAAGTATATATTCGTAATACAGCAAATATGATGGTCAGTGAACAAAGTCCAAAGAAACTTCTTGCAATAAGGGACAGACTTTATGAATTATTAACTCATGCAATACCATGTGATTTGATATTTAAAGGTCTTTTACAAGAATGTATAAAAAATTGTGATCTTCAGCTAAAAATTGAAATTGCAACAGTTGCAGCAGAATATGAACATAGAATGCACAAAGGGTCAAAACCAATTTTTCATTTAGAAGCATTTGTTGCGCGATTTATGGCAATTTATAAAAAATTTATTGATTCATCTCTTGAAGGTTTTGTATGATATATTTATTAACATATTCGCATATATTTAAATATGCATATATTAAAATATAAATATAATTGTTAAATAAATTTTTAAATTTGTTTACATTACTATTAAAAATTAATTATTAATAATATCTATTAATTACTAATAGCATCTAGTTCTGTTTTTGTTATAAATTTAATATAATTTGCGCAAAGTACAAGATAAATTATTATTGATCTAATAATACAATTAATTTTTGATAGAAGTTATATCAACATAATATAATTATCTAAATTTATATAGCAGCAAGAGCAATAGCAGAAAGTGCTGATAGTGCAATCACTGCATAACCAGTACTATACACTTCCTTAATTGTGAGGAACATTCCCAAATCCCAAGCCTGCAAATTTTAACAATAAAAAGAAACTTTAGTTAAAAATATATATTTTTTTCTAATAAATAGAAATAATTTCTATAAAAGTTACCAAATGACGCAATCCATTAAATATATGATATGTAGCAGGTAAAGCAAGTAAAGTTTTTCCTACGAAAAGAACAGGAGCAGATAAACCTAATTCTGTGATTATTTCTATGAGACAAGGAATACCTCCTGGGATGAGTAATGTTCCTATAATGACAATAAAAATTATTAAATTTATTTTTTCTTTATTTTATGTAAAGATAAATAATAATCTTACCTATACCAAATAACATAGCATAACTTGATAATATCATGCCTGTTGTACGATGTGTAATTGAAAGAAATGCTGTTAATTGAATTTGGTAAATAGTCAAATGTGGTGACAAAGGTCTCTTGAGGCGCATATTCTTTTCATCATGAGTTTCACAAATTGTAGTTTCTTTAAATAAAGGTTTCGAGACAGCGATATTTCGTGAACTAAGAAATTATTTTAATTTAATTTATAATAAGTCGGCATAAATAACATTCAAATAAAATGAAGGTTACGCATTATATAATAAATTACCTGCAAGTGTAAAAATTCCGAAAAGTACAAGGATCAATGCTTCTTCGAGAAAGCAATCTAAATAAAGTCAATTTTTAATATTAATATTATCAGTTAAAATAAAATATGATAAAAAACATTAAATAATACTTTATTACCTCATATAACACAGCGCCATGTTTTTGTGACTATATTGTAATTTTAAATAAACATATTATAGATATCTTAAAATATCTTTTTATAATATTTTTTTTTATTACTTTATTTTGACGAAATTATGGAATAATTCGATCAAATGAAAATTAAGATTATTTCGAATTAAAAATATATAACTTGTATATGATTTTTACATTTCTATTACTTTTATTTTTTATTGTTAAATGTTTCTAATAAGAAAAGAGATTAAAAGAATAAGAAGCGAATTTATTTCTTTTAAATTTTTATTATAATAAATAAAAACATTTTTCAAATCATCGTTATTTGAAAATAAGTCTTTAATTAAAATAAATTATATATAGCATAGCCATCTTATAGTTTCTTATACTTCCTCTTATACTTCCGTAGTAACGTTCTTCGTTGTGACTATTTAATTCTTTACCGGTTCATGCCTTCTGTTTTACGAAGCTTCTTATTACATTTTTGACTTGAAAAATAATATTTATTAAAAATTATTAAATCAGAAAAAGATATATAAATATAATTATAGTAAAAAATATTATAAACTGAAATGAATGAATTTAAATTGCCTAAAGCTCCTAATGGAGTATCTGTTGCTGCTACATGCCTTGCAGCGGTCGGCGTAACGGGTTATGGCGTTTGGAAATCTATGTACACAGGTTTGATCTACATATTTCTATTAGATTGATATTTATTACAAATAAATATATATATTATTATAAGTATAAATAGATTAATACAAATTAATAATTTAGAATAGAAATTTTTTTTCATTAATTTTATAATTGTTTTAGTGGAAGCTGGTCATAGAGCAATTATATTCTCACGTTTAGGAGGAATTCAACAAGATATTTTAACTGAAGGTCTTCATTTTCGTATTCCATGGTTTCATTGGCCAATTATTTATGATATTAGAAGTAGGCCTAGAAAATTATCTTCACCTACAGGATCCAAAGATTTACAAATGGTCAATATTTCTCTTCGTGTGCTTTCTCGTCCTGATGCACAAAGTTTACCTACAATGTATCGTCAGTTAGGTCTTGATTATGATGAAAAGGTTAAATAAAATTTTATTATATTTTTAATATTAAAATTTCAATTTAAAAATTTACTATTGCTATAAAAATATGATTATTTTTTAGGTTTTACCAAGCATTTGTAATGAAGTACTAAAATCAGTTGTTGCAAAGTTTAATGCATCTCAACTAATTACACAAAGGCAGCAGGTGTCAAATTTAGTAAGAAAAGAATTAACTGAACGTGCTAGAGATTTCAACATTGTTTTAGATGATGTATCAATAACTGAATTAAGTTTTGGTAAAGAATATACTGCTGCTGTAGAATCCAAACAAGTTGCTCAACAAGAGGCACAAAGAGCAGCATTCTTTGTAGAAAAAGCAAAACAAGAAAAACAACAAAAAATTGTTCAAGCAGAGGGTGAAGCAGAAGCTGCTAAAATGATATCCTTTAAAAAAATAAAATAATATAATAAAAATAATATAATATATAATATATAATAAAGAATATATATGGTATCCCAAAAATGTTGGAACATTTGATTCTTAAGGTAATTTGAAGCAATATTTTCTTTTATAAAAACTTTCATTAAGACTAATAAGTTATTAACAAAAAACATTAACTAATCATAGAGTACATAGACTAATAGAACCATGATAGTAGCTTTGATAGGCTTGCCATTGATTGGCATACAAATATTTCAGATTCAATATTTTTGGGAATATATATATATATAATATATACATATCTATAATTTTTTTATTATTTTTTAAACAAATATCCTTAACTTCTGTGTACCTTGGCTTAGCTCTTAGTCAAAATCCAGGTTACTTAAAATTACGAAAAATTCGTGCAGCACAAAATATTTCTCGTACGGTAATTACAAAAAAAATTTTATTTCTTATAATAAATTATCATAGAATTATACAATGAGTTTTTTTTTTTTTTTTTTTTTTTTTTTTTAGATTGCAAACTCTCCAAATCGTTTATATCTTAGCGGGAATGGTTTGATGTTAAATATTCAAGATCCATCATTTGATGATTCCTCAGATAAACTAAAAAGTAAGAAATAAAAACAGCATAAAATTTTTCATACTAATTATATGGTGTAAAGTAATTTTCAAAATATTATATATGTAGATACCAAAAAAGATTGTTAATAAGAATCATTAGATGATTGTAGATATAAAAATATTGCAGCTAGTCTTGTTATTGTTTTTATGTCCTCTGGTAAGATGATGCTCGCTCGCAAATCTCGAGCTCCTGTTTTTTCAGGTGATAAAAGGATGATGAGCTGGGAAAACTGGAATGATACAATGCAAAGCGCGGTGAAACATTTAACGTCTGAGCAACAAACAACAGTGAAAATCAATGAAAAACCCTTAATTAAATCTTCTGTACCCTCTTCAGAAGAACAAATATCTATTCTATTGGATTCTGCAGATGATGGAGCAAAGATGATTGTTTCTTGAACTCAAATTTAAATTTAATTTTATATTTCGGAAGAGATTTTGCGATGCGAGCTCATCTCCTATCTATATCTAATATATTCCTTACCCTTAAATCTTATTACTGTCATCAATAGATAAAATTTTTTTTATGTTATATTAAGGGAATTCGTGAAGATATCTTAATAATTTTTTAATAATACATTATTACAAATTATCGATATAATTATCGAAATAAAGTTTAATTTACAGTTTATTCCTTTATCCTTATTTTATTCTTCTTTTATCTTTAAATAAAATTCAAATTTATGATATTCATAAGATTATTTATAATAAAATTTTTATAATATAAAAATTTGTGTAAATGAACTATATTTTAATGTGTAATATATCCTCTTTTTTTTTTTAATTAATAAAAAGAGTAGATTAATTTCAGAAAAATCAATAAAGAAGTTATTAAAAAAATAAATAGATTAATTTCAGAAAGATTAATAACAGGAGTAGATTATTTCAGAATATACTTGAAAATTGTGAATTGTACTTCCGGCAAATTTTTAGATAAATTATAATATAGATAACCTCTATTCATATACGATAAGAAGAGCATTGTCAGCAATTACATAGATACAATTTTCAAGTTTGAATAAATCAAAAGGTGTGTATTTTCAAAATTTTTTTAAGTTATTATCTTTATTTTTATATTTTTATATTTATTAAATAATCATTTTTTTATATTTATGTATTTTTTTCTTTATCTAATAATTTATAATAAATTTAAATTTTATTAAAGTAATATTATTGCATCATTTTTGTAGATGAAGGAAGAAAAATCTATTAATTCAACTACAGGAAGGTAAATGAATTAATTTTTTAAATTACATATCATTATAAAATTATATTTATATTTTATTATATTATTTTTAAGTGATGAACTTTCTAAAAAAGCTCTTAAAAAACAACAAAAAGAAATAGAAAAAGCAATAAAAAAAGCTGAACGTAAAANTGGTTAAGAGGACGTTTACATACAAGTCGTGCTAAAGGTATATTATTTAAAAATAAAATTACATATATATATATATGATATTTATTATTATATATTTTTTATATTATACATTTTTTTATATAAATATATATTATTATATATTTTTATATTTTACATTTTCTTTATATATTTATTTCTATATTTATATGTTTTTAATAGGTAAACAATGTTTTATTGTTTTAAGACAGCAATCTTATACAATACAAGGTTTAGCAGCAGTTAATAATAAAGTTAGCAAACAAATGATTAAGTTTATATCTAAGTAAGTGACATAATCTATTAGTAAACTTATATTTTTTATATTTCACAATTTCACAATATTGTTTTTTAGTATTACTAAAGAATCTATTGTGGATATTGAAGCAATTGTAAAATGTGTTTCTTCTCAAATTGAGTCATGTACTCAAAAAGATGTAGAAATTCATATTGAAAAAGCTTTTGTAATAAGTATTGCGAAACCACAATTACCTTTACAAATTGAAGATGCCTCAAGACCAATAAAAGAAGAAGTTGATGACAATATTTTGAATATAAAAGTGAATCAAGATACGAGATTGGATAATAGAGTTCTAGACCTTAGAACTCCAGCAAATCAAGCTATATATCGGGTGGAAGCAGCTATTTGTAAATTATTTAGAGATATACTTACAAGTAAAGTAAGTTATTAATAAAATTATAATTGTAATGCAGAAATTTATTTATAAATTTTATTTATAGGGATTTGTTGAAATTCATACACCGAAAATAATATCTGCAGCAAGTGAAGGTGGTGCAAATGTATTTACAGTATCATATTTTAAAGGAAATGCTTATTTAGCACAATCTCCACAACTTTATAAACAAATGGCAATAGCAGCTGATTTTGATAAAGTTTTTACTGTAGGAGCAGGTGATTTTCAATTTCAGAAATATAATTTAAATTTAATTTTTTAAAAACATTTTATTACATATAATTATATAGTTTTTAGAGCTGAAGATTCTAATACACATAGACATTTAACAGAATTCGTCGGTCTTGATTTAGAAATGGCATTTAAATATCATTATCATGAAGTAGTTGAGACTATTGGACAGTTATTTGTAGAAATGTTTAAAGGTCTTCGTAACAAGTTGGTAAAAATTATTAATAAATATAAAAGATATCTTTTCTAATATATATAATATTAATTTTATGAAATTTAACTTCAGTTATGCTGCTGAAATCGAGGCTGTACGTCAACAATATAATGTGGAACCATTTAAATTTTTAGATCCACCTTTAAAATTAGAATATAGTGATGCTATTGAATTATTAGCGGAAGCTGGCATAACTTTGGGTGAAGAAGATGATCTTTCTACATCAGATGAAAAATTATTAGGAAAACTTGTTAAAGCAAAAGTAGGTTTTTTTTTGAAGATATTTACAAATTTAAATTTATTTTTTACTCTTTTATTTCTTTTATTTAGTATGATACAGATTTTTACATCTTGGATAAGTATCCATTGGCAGTAAGGCCGTTTTATACAATGCCAGATCCAAATAATCCTGTAAGTTCATTCAACTATCGCAACTTGTCGCAATATTATGTTAAATATACGTACATAATATATGTACATTATATGCTTTATTGCAGAAATTATCAAATTCTTACGATATGTTTATGCGTGGCGAAGAAATTATTTCTGGTGCACAACGTATTCATGATCCTGAACTTCTTACAGAACGTGCAAAATATCACGGAATTGGTAATTATATTTCAGATTTTTACATTTATAATTTATAATAAAGTATATAAATATTTTTTTAAATTATAGACTTAGAAAAAATAAAATCGTATATTGATGCATTCAAGTATGGTTGTCCTCCTCATGCTGGTGGTGGAATTGGAATGGAACGTGTTGTTATGTTATATCTTGGTTTAGACAATATAAGAAAAGTTTCAATGTTTCCTCGGGATCCTAAACGCATTACGCCATAGAATTTCAACTTCAAATAATATGTGCAGTGATAATATATTTATTAAATTTTTAATTACTTTATTGCTGAGAAAAATTAATAAATGGATATTTTGAATGTTTCTAATTATTTATATATTCATAAATACATATATATATATAATAAAGAAAATAAACGATCTTAAAATAGTAAATTAATTGTATTTTATTAATTTATTATATTATTATTTTATAATTTATTAAATTAATTAATGTTAATTGTATTAATTAATGATATTTGAAAGTACATGCAATATTTTACGTTTTTTGATATTAAAATAATTCCGGATTAAAATAATGATGAGATTCTAAATTTTTATAAATTGTTAAAATATGAATTATTTTAGATTAATTATTACTGACATTTAATTAATTTTATAATTTTGTTATATTATTAAATGTATTAGAAATTATTTTCACTTTACATCATTTTAAGTAAACCGCCTTTCAATATAAATTTTATTCATAGATTTCATTCATAGATGTCGTAACACGTCATATAGAATGTGAATTATGTCAACGAAGTGCTTAAATATAAACTTAATAAAAAAATTTTTAATTTCAATAATTTTATGTTAAAGAAGACTAAAATAATAATTTATATTTTTAAAAAATTCATTAGTGCTGTGATTAATATATTAAGAGGTATCAAGATCTAAAAATGACAACAAGTAAATCATTGATTTTAAGCGGCTTCAAAGAAGATTGTGAACAATTAATTGCTCGTTTTGAGAAGGCAGATGACATTAGATTTCAAACTTTTTGTGAAATTTGGAAAACGATGAGATTTTCACTGGTGTTTACGTAAGTTAAAATAAAGTTTTATTAAATTTAATTATAGTTTTTTTTACTATAATAGATATTTATAAAATTTGAAAAAATATAATTATTCAAATAAATGATGAATTTAAAATGTAATTTTTACTTTTTTTACATTTTCAGAGGTCGTCCAACTTTTTTAGAATTATTAGAATTCTGTGAAGAAACACTGAATATATGTAAACAATTTCTTCTTTTACCTCCTCGATTTAAAGAACGTATTGGAGGATTATATCTTTTATATGGAATATATTATAAAATGCCAGTAGATCAGTTTAAGATTAGAGTTAAATTAGATGATTGGCAAAATATTATGGAACTTCATGCAGAAATAAAAGAAGCAGAACACTTAGATGCTAATTATATATTATGTAAATTAATTGTAGATAATGCATTTCACTTTTGTATTTTTGATTCAGAGGTATATATAATGAAAACTTTTTAATTTTAATAAATAATATGTATTATATTATATATAAATGAAAATATTATATATAATTTATTCCAGTTTGGATTGGAAAAACAATATCGTGTAAAGAATGCACAATGTTTTAATCCATATTCTGTATTACCAATATTAAAAGATTTAACTGACAAGCATCAAATGTTATCAAAAATAAATGAAATTAGTAAAGTTTATGAAGAAAATAAACAATTATTAAAATTAAAAAATGATTCAGGTACTAGTCTAAATTTATTCAATTCAAATATAGCTGAAGAAATTATTAATGATATTCAAAAATTTGAAGAACAAAAGAGAAATCAACAAATAAAAAGTATGTTTGATTCTGAAAAAGCATGTACTTCTTCTACTTCAAAAGGAACACATAAAAAAACCCAATTGTATGTAAATTTATGTAATTATAATATATTTATAATATTTGTTTTTTATATTGTTGTTTTTTTAAATTATATCATATATCGTTATTTTTAAATTGTATTATATTATGCTTTAATATTTTAGAAAAGGAACTTCCAAACGTAAAATGCGGCCATTAATTGATTATGATTTTCAAATAGAATCAAATGAATCTGATGAAGATGAAGTATTTGAACTTGATGATTATGATTCTAATTCATCTGAAGATTTTGATTAATAACAAAAACAAAAATATACATATTATCTGTAAGTGTATTATAACAACAAATTTTATAATAGATAAATTATATGTATATCTATAATAAGTAAATAATATTTCTTAAATTGTCTTTTATTGGAAATTGTACAAAATAAGTATAAGGAACAAGTGAGTGGAAATATTAATCATTTTAAATTTAAAGAAAACTTTCGTAGAATACATTGTACTCTATCTTATTGTAGCTATGTTTTTCACATGCTTTAAGTGAAGACAATTCAATTAAATGACTAAACATCTTTAAAATGGAATTAAATTTCTAAACTTAAAAACTGAGTAAAATGTATTATAGATTTCGTGAATAAGTTACTTTATCAGAGACTAATTTTCAAAGATGTAACTTTTCATTTTTATGTAGCTTTATGTATATTTACGGCATTAAAATTAAATCTATATACTGAATAAGTCTTATTATTGCCGCCAATAAACATTTATAAAGCTTACGGTAATAAGTTCATGTTAAATTTTCTTAATAAACTTTCAATTGATTGTTGTCGTCGAATCCAGCACTATGACCCGCGTTTCGTACAATAAAACTAGTTCCGTCATAATGCATGCGTCGTTCACCGCGTCGCACAAAAAGATGAGATGTTTGACCAAGAGATGCAGTACAATGTAAAAATGGAGTCGTTAACGAAGCTGTACCATTACTAGGTGATGTTCGTAATTGATATTTGTTACTATTTCGAGCAATCCTAATAAAAAAATAATTCATATTCTTATTGATTAATATAATTAAATATTTTTTATATTATTTTATATTATTTATATTATTTTTTATATTTTATATTATTTATTCTTATGAATAAAATTACCTGACAAGACCATCAGGTGTTTGCGAAACTCTAACATTATTAATGATCCAATTTTCTACACCTTCATTAGTTAACCAGTATTGAGCGGCACCTAAAGCTGCCGTAGCTTCTTGCAAACATGCTGGACCGTGCCGGGAACGAGAGTAAAAAACACTAAGAGAAAAGTCCTAAAAGTTAAAGAGCAAAACAATATTTTAGTATAATTATTTTTGATTTACAAAAAATTTCTATTTTTCATACCTGACTCATATCTGAAAATGAATCCGTAGTTGTTCTTGTTCCCGCCGTATCAACTAAATAAACTAGAGCACATTGTTCTGAAGTAAAGCTCACTCCTTTATACCACATCTTTGCGTATCTGATGAAGGATAATATTACTTGTTAATGATACTTTAATGATGATACAGATACCACTGACTTGTTATTGCCGTGGGCATCATGGGCCAGGATTTCAACTCGTGATCCATATTGATATATTCTTCCGTTTGGATGGAGTAATGCTGCAGCTGCTCCAGAACCGCTCAACGATAGTACAATGTTATTCTACGCTGACGATAAATGCAATTCAGATAATAATCATGTAAGTATTAGAAATTATTTACCATTTGTATTGTTGTATTATTATGAATTTATATATTATGCTGTTTTTAAAAAGCAAAGACATTTTAATCATGGTATTAAAATTTATTTGAAACAGGAATCTTGTTATAAAATAGAAAAAAAAGAAGATACCTTAAAATTAATTACTCTAACTGCTCGATCGATCGTCATATCAACCCGAATTCTGTTGTGAAGTCTCAATGAAATTGTACCATGTGGTGTAGTTACAATAGCGGCATCAGTATCATGTTCTCTCCAGTTTTCTGCGTAGATGCATGTTTCTTCATAGTATGGTGCAATAGTTTTAGAATTTCGTGGTTGTCGCCACAATGCTGTTGAATTAGAAAATGCTGTTGCACCGGCTAATCCACCCCATTGTTCCGATGGCGGTGCTTCAAAGTATTTGGGAAATTCACTGTATCGCTAAAGGAAAGAATGAATTACTTTCAACTATGACAAGTGGTAATTGTACTAATTAGGTAAAGTACCTGGAAATTAGTTTCATCTGTTTGTGCGTGATAACTGTGCGCTGTATAAAGAGATCTCGGTCGCATCGGTGCTGTTGAGGTATTTTGACTTTGAATTGCTGGTATGGAACATGGTTGTTGATTTACCGCTTGTGTTCCTGTTTGAACGTTACATTTTTGGATCTCCTTCCGATATTCGCCGCAAGGAGTTGTCATTGCTTTTGCCTTTAATTAATATTATATGATAAAAATTATTAAAAAAAATTTATTAATTAATTAATAATAAAAAAAAAATATAGAGATTCTTCAATTTCATTAATTTTGATAAAATGATTTTTAATTTTAAAAATAAATTTTTTAATATTTTTTAGAAAGAAAAATGAAATTTAATGAAAAAGATAATTAAAATCAAAAATTAAAAAATGATCTTAGAATCTAAAAAAAACCTTGGAATTGGCTGTAGCGTTTTTTGTCTTCTTGCGACGCGATTTCCGGGGTTTCGACACCGCCGTTTGACTACCCTCGTTTATGCGATCCACGGCTGAAGCGGTTTTCGTATCTGCAGGTCCAGGTCCTTTTTGTGAAATCACGTCTTCGACGTTTCTGATATTTTTTGACTTCACTAAGATGCTTACATATGTAACTTTAATCTTAGATGTTCTTATACAGCGATTAAGAAATTTCGGATCGCGATGAGGGAAATCAATCCTTGTAGATACCTATAAAAACTTGTTCAAAGGATAACACGGTTGAAAGATATTTTGGTAAAACAAATGAATATTTTGGTTGATTATATCGTTGCCTTGACAATAAAAAATGACAAGAGATTCAGTAGAAAAATTTCGATAAAATAAGTATAGGCAAGTTTTTTGAAGTTCGAATGGAATGATTTATTTAACATTTATCATATCTTTGTATTAATGTATTTTTTGTTTCACATATATGTCAATATAATAATACATTGTAATAAAAAAATTATAGAATTAAAATTTTTCGATCGGCACTTATTTTGAAATGAATAATTCATTTAACACAAATTTTTCTTTCTTTTATTCTTTA